TCTCTCTCACACACACACACACAAACACTCTCTCACACACAAACACACACACAATAATAATACACTACAGGCCAAACATTTTTGAAATTTGAACCGTAAGATTTTTAATGTTTTTTAAAGAAGTCTCTTCTGCATTTATTTGATCAAAAATACAGCAAAAGAAGAAAAAAAACATTAAAGATCTTACTTTTCAGTGTACTCTAAGTAGATGCATACACCATATAAACACATGCCACTCTCATGATGCGTGTCCTAAAGCAGTGTCTGTCTGTCAATCACATCATGTAGCTATCATAACCCTCACAAAACCCGCAGCAGCTCGACCCTGCTGCATGATATTACCAGCTCATATATTAGTGTGTGTGTGTGTGTGTGTGTGTGTGTGTGTGTCCCTGCAGCACAAACGCAGCGTTCAGCTATATTTGTAAACACTGCACGAGTCACAGATCACAACATATCATTAGGATATTAAGTAAAGATCATGTTCCATGAAGATATTTAGTAAATTCCGTACCTAAAACTTAATGTTTGATTAGTAATATGCATTGCTAAGAACTTCATTTGAACAACTTTAAAGATGATTTTCTCAATATTTAGGTTATTTGTGGCTGTATCTCAGCCAAACGTCGTGCTATCCTAACAAACCACACATCAGTGGAGAGCTGGTTTATTCCGCTTTTCCTCTCCTGAGACTGGTTTTGTGCTCCAGGGCCACATCTAGTGATTATAAGATGATGTGCAGTGTATCTGTCACCGCTGAGTCCTGCGGCCTGCTGGGTTTCTTCAGGCTCCGTGTTGATGTTTTTCTCCCGTTTGTCCGTTTTCTCTTCATCCTCGGACTCAGCGCCCATCCATGAGCTCCAGCCCTTAAACATGGTGTGTCCGTGTGTCCGCGGTGAATTTAACGATCTCTGATGGCTTTAATCAGGAGAACTTTACTCCATGACTCGCATCCGCAATGAGCCTAAGAAACAAACAACAACAGCAGCAGCAGCAGCAGCAGCAGAGCGCTTCCGCCGTCAAACACACAGCAGCGCCCCCTGCAGCGCGGGAGGAACGGCACACGGACACTGCTGGCGTTAGATCATTTCTTGATTGCTTGGATTATTGAAATATAATTTCTTTCCCTATGCATTTGTTGTGTCTCCCAAAATGCGTAATAAACATGCTTTAAGTCCTGGTGTCCTCTACAGTGCACATGCATGAAATCGACGTCCCGGCTCATAACAAAAAGCCATATTTTGATTTGAAACCCCGTAACATTTTCCCCGAGATGTTGATTTATGCCAATTCATTTGAAAATACTGATAATTACAAAATAGTATCATATACGCATAAGTGTGACATATAAGGCATATCCTGCTTTTATATTAAAATCCCATCCATTCATTCAAAAGCTTGAGTATTTCTGATTTACACTTCACTATAGAAATAACATGACATTTCTCAGTAGATCTAACGTCTCTCTTCTGCACGCCGTCTAGAACCAGCTGAAACATCTACGCTTTCTCTGCTAAATAAAGAAAAATACTTCTGAGATGAAAATATGTACAAGTTTTATGAAATGGTGTGTTTAAATATGCAAATGAGACATTATCTTATTAAATCTACACTCATTTGCATAAAATTCCAGAACATAAATCATAAAATTATTTTTGTTGACACATTAGAATTAAAGGTTTTAATCACCCCATAACTTTTTTTTTTACCATGTTTCTGGGAATAAAACACTATATAAAATCAGGCAAATTAAATATGAACAAACCCTTGAGTAAAAGCCTTCAGAATATAGATCTGAATAAAACTGCTGCGTTTGGCGTTTTAAGTGCTGCTGAAGAAAAAAGCGTTTAGAAATATGGACTGTAATTGACATTTACAGACGCAAGTAGATAAAGCGCAATAAAATAAACTTTCCACTCGTCTGAAACAGCATTCGAGTGCACGGATAATGATATTTATTTGGTAGAAAATACAAGTCCTGTGTTTAACAGCTCAATTCCTGATGAAGAACTAATGAATTATGACCAAAGTGAAATCAAAGAGCTTTACCTGGAAAAAACCTCCATTTGCATTCTTATTCAACTCCCATAAAATATTGCAAAAGACATAATCGAGTCAGTTTCCCATAAAACCAGCATATATTTAGATATTACATGACTATATTATACCATTGTTTCTTATTACATTCATTTGCAGTGTTTCATAGGATGCATCATTTATTGCATCATGCAAGATATATGTGACCCTGCAGCACAAAAGCAGTGTTGAGTCGCTGGGGGATATTTGTAGCAATAGCCAGCAATACATTGTATGGGTCACAATTATACATTTCTCTTTCATGCCAAAAATCATTAGGATATTAAGTAAAGATCATGTTCCATGAAGATACTTTGTAAATTTCCTACTGTAAATATATCAAAACTTAATGTTTGATTAGTAATATGCATTGCTAAGAACTTCATTTGGACAACTTTAAAGATGATTTTCTCAATATTTAGATTTTTTTGCACCCTCAGATTCCAGATTTTCAAATATTGTCCGATCCTAACAAACCTTACATCAATGAAAGCTTATTTATTCAGCTTTCAGCTGATGTATAAATGGGGTTTCTTCAATTATGACTGGTTTTGTGCTCCAGGGTCACATATAGTCTTTTACCATTTTGTAGTGCCTTGAGTGTATTGTTAAATTTTTATTACTATATTTATATTAATATTACTCAATATAAAATCATAGAACTGGTAATAGATCTTCATTCAGTTAGATCTTTAATCTTGAATTCTGTCTCTTCTGTCTGAATGCTGTACTCATAGACAGTCACAGGTTATGCATCAGTATATACAGCTGTTTATTTGTGATTTTTCCAAAACATCTCATTTACTACATACAATGCACAAAATACATGTGTAATGGACGTTCGAGGGAAAAGAGAGATCAACACAAATGAGACTAGGTTAAAACTGAAAGAACGCTAGTTATACATTAGTGTCTTGAGCTTTTCACGTTTCTCTAGAAAAATAGAAATCATGTGAGGTGTGTCGGTGACATGAACGCTTTCTGTGTTTTGGCAAGTCTCGATGGGTTTTTAAGAGATCCAAACCGTGATTCACCACCGACCAGATTTGTCCACGATTTCCAAGGCTGTTTGGAAAAGTTCAGAGCTTCAACGAATTGAATGCATTTCTCTCTGGTTTCCAGAACCCGCAGGATTGCACCATTTTAGGAATAGTTCACCCCAAAAAAAACCTACAGATCTTCTTGTTCCAGACGAGCATTATTTTCATTCTTCCATGAAAGCCAACAGGGAATTTGAGGCGGAATGTCTTAAGTTTCTCCTTTCCACAAAAAGCAAGTGGACTGTGATTTATGCGTCCAATTCCCAAAGAGGACAAACAAAAGCGTACAATCGTACAAAACCAGTCGACTCGTGCGCTATATTTCCAATTTGGAGCTTGGCAGGATACATAACAGTCCACTTTCGTTGTGTGGAAAGCTTCGGTTAAACATCTCATTCTGTGTTTCACAGATCAAACGAGTTTGGAATGAGAGCGAGTAAACAATGCAATTCTAAAGAGAAAACCGAGAAAAAAAAAGCAGTGTCGGTGGTGAATCGGTCTCAAACCGTGTCTAAAACAGCATGATAAAAGTGCTGCTTTTCCAACCAACTAATCCATTAATTATCCTTCATTTCTTGGAGACGCTTGGTGATTATTGATGATATCAAAATTTAATCAATTTCTTTGAATTTGAATCTTTCGACAAAATCCATGTTGGAAAAATGCATGATTTACCTCATTTGTGGTAATCGTGAGTAAAAGTTGGTAAATATGGAAAATAAGGCACCTGATTCCTGGAGCGTTCTCTCGGATCGTCTCTCTGAGACAAAGCTGTTTGGATCGCTAAGAAACCATCCAGATTTCCCCAGGTTTTGATTGGGTTCATTCTGAGAGCCGAGAATCACAGTCAGACTGAACGGATTCAGTACAATCTCCAGAACGTTCCAGCTACACAAACCCACTGCGTTTAGAAATCTGTCATGTGTTGTACACACTAGTTTCTTCTTCGACCAGTTTCCTCTTTCAGATCAGATCCGCTGTCACGTCGGAGCTAAACATTTTTGAAGAGTCAAGTTAAAATGAGTTGCTGAATAATAATCACACAAATGATGCATTTGGAGGAAACGAACGCTCCCCTCGAGTCCTGAGGTTTTTGTTAAAGTCATTATAGTTTTATGGAATATTGCATTGTTTTTAGAAATTATGACCATGAACCACAAAACCAGTCATAAGGGTCAATTTTTCGAAATCGAGATGTATGCATCACCTGAAAGCTGAATAGATAAGCTTTCATTGATGTATGGTTTGTTAGGATCTGACAATATTTGGCCGAGATACAACTATGTGAAAATCTGGAATCTGAGGGTGCAAAAAAATCTAAATATTGAGAAAATCATCTTTAAAGTTGTTCAAATGAAGTTCTCAGCAATGCATATTACTAATCAAACATTAAGTTTTGATATATTTACGGTAGGACATTTACAAAATATCTTCATGGAACATGATCTTTACTTAATATCCTAATGATTTTTGGCATAAAAGAAAATCTATAATTTTGACCCATACAATGTATTGTTGGCTGTTGCTACTTATGACTGCTTCTGTGCTCCGGGGTCACGTCTATATATTTTTTAAAAATGCATATGCCCTTGTAATCTTGATTTGAAAGAGCTTCCCCTTTCTTTGCCCTTTCCCCTTTCTTTGAACGATCCAATCGATTCCCAATGCACTAATTCAATTCCCACCCTACATTTTCTTCTCAAGAATCAGTGAAGTGTTTCTGGCCTGAGGTTCATATGTAATTTCCGGACAGCTGATTCAACATGGGTTCAGTCCGACTGTGAGCCTCGCTCTCGCCAATGAACTTCACAAACCGCATTGAAACTAACGCCCGAACCCTGACACGCTCCCAAAATAAGGCTTCGGGGTGTAGGCACACAGAGGTCTTTAGCTGAGCTAGCGTGGAGAATCCGCTTCAGATAGTGTCCAAACACTGAGCAGTAATCCGCCACTCAAAAATCAACATTAGACGACTTCTACGCTGAAGAAAGTATTTCTGTCTGTAAAGTAAATGCTGGTGGAGAATCTGTACGCTTGTGTGTGGATGGATGGAGAAATGGCAGAATGACTGTGAGGGTTTAGCGGATAAAAGGTGAGCTTTAGATGAGCTGATGTTGAGGGAGACAATAGTGAGGATAAGTAAGAGGCGTGGATGGCCCAAGATAAAACTAGCCTCGTTTAAATCAAAATTGGGAGGAATATGTTCAAAAAGCAATTATGTAGACAAAATGCAACTGAATGGAATAAATAATAATAATAATAATAATAATATCAGATCATTAATCATTATTAAATAATGAATAGCAATGATTGTTATCATTTAAAAAATAAATGCTTTTATTCTTGTTAAAAATTAATTATAATAATAAAAGTAGCATTAATTATCACTATTATTATAATTAATATTGTGAACAATAATACAAGCATTTATTAATAAAACATAATGCCAGCATTAATTATTTAAAATAATACTATTATTATTATTTAAAAATAATAATACTATTATTATTATTGTTTAAAATAATAACAACAACAAAATAATAGCAGCACTATTAAATAATATTTTACTATTATTAAAAAAAGCATTTATAATATTATTTTAGTGCTAATTATCATTAAACTATTTTTTAGCATTTTTATTAACAATGAAACTATTATTATTATTATCACTATTATTATTGTTGTCGTCATTTATAGTAATAATAATAATAATAATAATAATAATAATAATGTGAGGGAAGTCAGATATGCTTCATGCCACCCTTGATTGAGTTCCCACTATTGGGACAAAGAGACGCAGAGAAATAGGCAAGAAATGACCGAAGAGAGCTGCTAGAGTTGTGAGCCGTTACCAATACAGATGCAAACTTCAATACACATGCAAAGCAAACACCTGTAGAGATGCACGGTTTTCCGATGCTAAACGACAGTGTTCATGATAGCGCTGTAAAACAGACAATA